TGGGTATATAGATTGCAGTGTCCTGTTTCAGTGGCTGAGAGTTCAGTAGGGTCATTTGATTAATCCTTTGAATTTCAGAGAATGGACTTTTAAAACTGTTATTGACGTGGTAGAATTGAAATGCTGTGAAGTAGTTTTAACAGTCACAGAAAACAGTTTTGCCCCAAACAATGGAGCAGTCACTATCTGTGATGCTGGCCATCTCTTAAGTTAAAAGTCTGTCTCTGGTCTAATAAACTGCCTTTGGGTTGTCAGGGCAAGTGATCACCAAATGTTTATCAGCCCAGTGTTATTGCCTGATAACTAATTTCATCCAAAAGTTTGTTTAAAAGCTTAATTCATGTCATCTTATAGTAAAAAATGACAATTTCAGTGGAGTTTGGCAGGCTTCTAGGTCACTCAAAATTTATCACCTAGAGCAGGATCAGCTAATACACAGACTTCAGATTAGAAGTTCTTGTGCCTTTAGTCAGGAGTTGAGCTGATTAGTATGAGTCTGCTTATAATTTAAGGAATTCTTTGAATATTAGGCTGTAGAAGTAGTAAATAGATTGGTTTTCTTCAGCCTTAGTATTTGAAGATACAAAGGGACTGTGAGCGGAGTCCCATTGAGACAACACAGTGTATTGTTTGGATAGTGTTGTATCCAAATACTCAGTTATTGTTGCCCACAAGTAATGTGTCTTATGAGTAAAGAAGTGAATGTGTTCATGGTGAGTCCTGGCATATATAGGTCCAGACTCTTCTGGGCCATCAGTAAGATTTGATGCAACCACAGTTTGCCTTGGCAGAGCCACAGTAAAGTTGTGGCAGGACTGATGGAAGAGTGAGCCTGAGTTTTCCAAGGGGTTGTTCAGCAGAAGGTATAATGTGGAAACAGAGCTGAGAAGACCCTCAGACTGGTTCTTGAAGACATTCTCTCATGTTTGGTTTGTATCTTGGCACTGCTTGGTTCTTGCTTAAGCCTTTGTACTTTCTTTTAGTCTGAACTGGTTTGCTGCCCATGTTACTAGCTAGCAGCGAAGCAAGTGCTTGGAGAAACAGAATTTACAGAGGTAGAAAGACTGCTCACTGGGAGTAGATATGTAAAAAAAAAAAAAAAAAAAAGTGTTTAGCTTTGGTCACTGATATTTTATCTAATTTCCAAGTCTGAAAAGAACATGGCATGGCCAGTGAACATTGCAATGGCCTAGTGGGGTAACAGCACTTTCAACAAGAGTTAGCTATGTGATGAAGACCCCAGTTCAACAGCTTCATACAGTGATTTTAAGAAGTTCTGGAAGTATATGCTGTTTCTTCCTGTAACCATAGTTGTGACTCCTGGCAGCAGCAAACAAGATGAGTAAACCCCTCCTCATCACTAAAACTGGCTGAAGTTTTTAAGACTCTGTTTTGATGTTGAACATGTACAATTTTCTTGGCCTTTAAAGGAAGCTGTGGGTGCTCCACATGGTGGAAGTTGATTTAAGTAACTTAGGAGAAAATGCTGCAGCTTTGGGCTCTGGAGCTTGGCACTTTGCTCAGTTTAGCTGCTTCTTCTCTTCCATCAAACAACTCAGTAGCAGATCTAGGCAAGCATGTCCTATTTCCAATTTAATTTTAATCTAAAACCCATTTTAAAGCAGCCATATTACTTCTACTGACAAGTGATCTGTGAGAGAATAATCTTACATGAATGCTGTTGCTGGATTCTGAAAAATGGAGAAAATGAGGCTAGGGCTGTGCAAGCAAAGAAGCTGGCTTGGACAGCTATATTAGGGGGAGGAATGCAGCACACTTTTCAATGCTTGTCAAGAAATCCTGTAAGGACACAAATTTTAGCAGCGCAGGGAGGTCTGAGATTAGACCTTGCTGGACAAGCCAGTTAGCAAAGAAATGCTGAAGAAATAGACAGGAAAGACAGAGGGTGGGTGTGAGAGAATGTGATGTGGCCAAATGCAGTTGTGTGTACTTGGCTGGGCCTTTGACAAGTGTCAGTGAGAAGCTGCCACAAGGTCTTCTGGGTCTCATCCAGTCCTAGATAAACGTGTCCTCAGTACTGCATGTGGCTTTGGAGACTATCAGTTCCATATTAGAAGTGCTGATCAGATTACACTGATGTCTTTCTCCAGGAAAGTACTGGATGATCTACTATATGAAATACCAAGGCTTTTTAGCTTATAGCAGTTCTTTCTTCCTTGCTAAAATAGGGGTTATTAAGTTAGGGAGGAAAATGTTGAAATATTTTAATTCCCAGAGAGCTGGAAGGGGAGAGGGAACTCAGGACATGAGAGCAACCTGACATTGAAGTCCACAAAGCCTCGCGTAATCTGGCAGTTGGACCCTTTGCCATCTAACAGGGGTTCTCTACTGCTTGTTTCTGCCAGCTACCTCCCCTGTGCTGGCCCGAGTGTTCATATAGTCTCCTGGGGAGTCACCTCGGGGAATTGATTAGGTTAAAGTTGCATATATCCAAACCCCCCAGCAAGGTCAGAGCCAGTGTGAGGAGACAGGAGCAAACATCAGGTGAAGAGGAGGAGACTGGGCAGATCTCTACTGGGTTCAAGTGGCACAGTAACTAGAGCAGTGTGCTCTACATGCTGTGAGATTCCTTGTTAGCCACGTGTGTCTTCACGTGGCTTAATTTTTAGTTGGTGCAGCAGTTGTAGTATCTGCTGTTGCTGCAGTTCCTGGCTGGCTTGGTGTCCTTGGAGATGTGGGGGACTTGGGGCACGGTCACAGTCCCCTGGGATTTTGCTGTGCAAGAAATGCATTGTGACAAATGAGCAGGGCAGGGTAATTATGCTACTCCTTGTAGGAGGTGAAGGCCAGTTCTTCTGCTGAATAGAAGGCTTTTTTGCCTGTTAAATTCATGCTGGTTGGCAAGAAGGAGACTTAATACCTAAAATTTTATTCCCCCACCCAACCTTGAAAGTGTTAATATAAACATCAGCCTAAAGCAGCTAGTTGAGATGTGCTGGGTTTGGGGATAACCAGTCTGTTGGTGTATAAATGCTACTGTGTGAATGACACAGGGAGGCTTCTGAAATCCCTCTTATGCTGATTCTGAAGTGACTTTTAATCCTTCAGACATATTGGTCTCTAAGCACTTTTTCAAAGAGGAAAATAACCTAACTCAAGCAGTTTGGGTAATAATAGTACTTAGCACTTAACAAACGTTGTGGAATTAATCCCCCTGGACCAATAAATTTAAGTGAAATTGTGTTGATCTTGGCTGGGGAACAGGGAGGTGATGTGAATTCAGCTTTCTTCCAGGCATGAAGGAGCAGCTCCCTCACTGTGGCTCCACAACAGCCAGTGGAGATGGAAGTGGTGAACCTGCAAAGTTTGTGTTCAAGCTGAATGTCATGGTTTGAGCCTGGTCGGCTGCAAAACACCACGCAGCCACACACCACGCAGCCATTCACTCCCCCTTCTTTTCCAGCAATGAGAAGGGACAAAGGAGCCAGGCTTGGGATTTGAGATAGGACCGGGAGTGGGGGGCAAATCACCCATTATGGTCACGAGCAAAAGGCAGACTTGTTAGGGGAAGAAAAAACCGTACATTTATTACAGACACTAACAACACGTAACAGAGTAGGACAGTGAGAAGCATTGCCACATCTTGAGAACACCTTCCCCCCACCCCTCCCTTCTTCCTGGGCTCAGTTTTGCTCCCAATATCTCTACCTCCTCCCCCAGCGGCACAGGGGCAGGGAATGGGGGGTGCAGGCAGTGCTGCTGCTGCTTCCATCTTCAGTGGGGGGAGCTTCTGGAACTTGTTCCTCCTGCTCCAGGGTGGTCCCCTTCTCACAGGAGACAGTCCTCTACAAACTCTCTGATGTGAGTCCCTCCCACGGGCCACAGCGTTCCCCACACTGCTCCGGCGTGGGTCACCAACTTTCTCCGACTGGATTCCCTTCCACAGCTGCAGCCCTTTCCGAGCTGCTCTGGCGTGGGACACCCCTACATGCTGCAATCCTCCCAGCACTGAATTATAGCAGTGGGGCTGCCTTTTCCCACAAGACCCTGGCCTTCTTCGGGCACAGCACCTTGATCATCCAGGCAAAACAAAACACAGGCCACAAATCAGTGTCTGCTCCACTGTAGATGTTCATGGGTGGTGGGGGGGCCGCCCTGCCGTCTCCCCACAGGATACAGGGGGGTCTCTGCTCCGGCACACCTCCCCCCTCCTTTCTTCCTCCATTCCTCCACTGACCTTGGTGTTCACGCAGCTGCAGCAATTCCTCCTCACCAGTCCCACTGCTCATCACCACGTCCCTTCTTAAATACATTATTGCAGAGGCACAGCTGATTGGCTCAGTTTTGGTGCAGAAGTGGAGCTGAATTGGAGCTGGGGGACCTTTGAGAAGCTTCTCACAGGGGGACGCCCCTATAGCCCCCTCCCCTGCTGCCAACACACCCCACCACTCACTCAAACCCAGGACACTGAGCCCTGTGTTTCATTTCTTCCTCTATTCTCACAGCTGCGCTGTGAATTAGATGTCTTCCAGGCTCAGTCAGACCTGCCAAGGAGCACTGGGAGTTGGGTCTCCTTGGTTCTGGAGAAGATTCTGTTCTAGCGTGATGGCTTAGGGTCAGGGAACTGCTTCTGGTTCCCCATCCTGCTCCTTCCCCTGTGCTGCCCCTTGGGGTTAGTGAGGTGTCCCACATTGCTGGACTAGACCTGTTAGTCTGCCATCCTGTTCCATGGAGAAGTCTTCTGGCCCCCCCTGTTGATTCAAACAAGACTGAGCAACGTAAATCTCCCATTAAGAGAAGCCTTTTCAAGTTGGCCCAAGTCCCATGGGTGACCGTGGCCTTCGCTCTGATGTGCAGGCTCCCAGAATCTGATGGTGAGTGCTGTGGATGGGCACTGATGTCTTGTTGGTAGTGTCACCTTTGGGCCAATGGGGAAGAGACTGTGGCGCTTAAACTTTGTGTACCAATTGGTATGTTTTGTGTATCAATTACTGCAGGTTAAAATCAATAGTTTGATTATTTTTTAAATTTGTTTTCAGGTTACAAACTGATTGGAAGTCATTCTGGGGTGAAGCTTTGTCGATGGACAAAGGTATACTCTATTTTATTTTCTCATTTTATGAACTAAAAAAAAAAAGAAGCTAGAGACTTAGTCAGGTATTACAATTTCCAGATGAAATATCCTTTAAAAATATGATAGTACTTGCACGAAAACAAACTCCATCTTCCAAGCTGTAGCTTTGCATTTCAAGCTATTAAAACCCTGCTGTGAAGAGTGAGAATGCGACTGTGGCAAAGAGCTGGGAACATAATTTTCTGTTGTTTTTCCTGTTATTCTGCTGTCTGCTAAAGTATCTCCTGCCTACTGAAATATATGGCAGGACCAGAACACCACAGGGAAAAGTGGGAAGGTTACGTCACCAGTGTGAGGTCTTCTGAAACAAAGATAACACAGTCCATCATTACACTTGAATGGGCACACAAGGGCACTGGAACCTGTTCTGTGATGGATGTATCTGGTTTGCGACAGGCAGTGCTCCTCCACTGGTTTTCAGCATTTGTCAAGTAAGATTTAGATAGCAAGGTAACTGTCATTTGTTAATGCTAGGACTTTAAAAATTACTCTGTGGGAGTGTGTATGTATATAGTTGTGTATAGTATGTCTGTGTGTGTATGTACCCGTATGTGAAAAAAAAATCATCCTCCAAGCCCTGCAGTTGTGTGTCGTAGGCTGTGTAAACCAGCAGCTTTTCAAGTAGTTTGCAGACTTAAAAACACTCCCAGCAGATGCACAGAGCCCTGTGGGACAAACTTCAACCACTTCAGTGGGTTTGTTTTGGTTGTCCTTTGCAGGTCCCCAAGAAGCTTAGATGTTGGAAGGTGTTTTATAGTGTTATGCATTTGAGGAGTAACATTGGTATAACATACTAAAGCCTTCAGCATTCATGGGATGATAAACTATGGGAATCATCACCTCATTAAAATGCCAGCACATCTCTAATTCTTGCACTGTGGCAGTGATCAGTTCCTTGGTCTCTCAGCCCTTTTTTGCTGCATGATTAACTTTGTTTATTTTTGAAAAGAGCTCTTTGATTGGCAATCACCAAGGTGGGTGGCTGCAGTGAGGTTTTCTTATTGAAATGCGTGATATCAATGAACTGTTTCATCAAAAGACTTGTTCTTGTGAACAGTTTAAAGAGCCCACCTCTGTATTGTCATGAATATTTGTGAGATGTACTGATCCCAGTGATGCTTCTGCTGTTTATTCTTACAAATATTTCTCTATTCTGTCATTTTTAGAATCAGAAGGCCATGAAACGTTTAAAGAAAAAGTTGTCAAACTTCATCAATGCTGTGACAGAGAGAAAACCAGAGAACCTATTTTTATTAAAGAACCAGAATTTAATGCAGCACTGTAAAGCCATTTCACAAAATAAATAGCAGCTCTGTGTGCTTAGATAGGACCATACTATTTTTAGCTTAAGCAGGCATTAAATGTAAAGTGTTCTAATAAATTGAACTGAAATTGGTTACAGACAGTAGCTTTGACTCAGATTCACACCAATATGTGAGTCTCTTCAGGAGCCTTGTTTGAGATTTGTATCGGCAGAAAGCAGGAGCCGGGCTAGAAGGATTAGTATTAAGTGAGTTTCATAGTGATATCTCAGATTAAAATGACTGTGTTCTGGCATATTCTGGAAAAGAGCATAAAACCTGCAAATTTTAGGAAGAGACTGATTTGCCTGTCTTATGAAACTCAAAATATAACTTGCTCTCCTAGAATTTGTGAATCTCCCGAAATCTGTATTGTTTGAGGAATGGGTAGAATAAACAGTATTTTCCTTTTTGTGTGATCTTTCAGCTGTATAACAAGGCTGTGCGTATGTTAGGGGTTACCTGTTTTATTCTTTCCCAGTTGCTTAGTGGACACTTTCTTTTGGATCACCAGGTAGAGGAAGGTAGATCACAAGTTACTATGTCATATTTCTCTTGAGTAATAAAGATGCTTTCTCACTTATTATTAAACTGAAATAATGAAAGACAACCTTTGCTCCAAGCAACTTGCATGCTAAATAGGAGTTAAACCCCAGTGGGAAGGCTGCTGTGGCTCTGCTGTGAAGAAAAGTGCAGCGTCCTGCTGGAGCCACTGAGTGATGTGAATAAGGGTTTATAAGGTCAGGGTATTTATTTAATTTAGTGCTAGAAGAAATACTCTACTAGACAAATGAAAAGAATTGAGTGTTCAGTAGGGCAGCCTTGAAATTGATCCTTGTTACTCTTTAGCAAGCTTTTACAATAATATTTCTTGCAGCTTAAGTGGCTTCACCTGCTTTCTTTTGTTGGCTGATTCAGTGAAGCAGGTTGTTATACTGTGGTGTTGCGAGAAGTTATTGATTATGTTAAAGTTTCTCTTCTTTAAAACAGTTGTAAATTTGATATAAATACCTTTCTTCTGTAAGGGTGTGTATAAACAGTCACGTTACATACTGATCTGTGTGCTATGAATTTCTTAAAACAGACTGTGTCTGTCATTATTCATACCTGCTCCACAGCCACGACCTCGCTTGCAGTGTCTGCCACAGGTGACTTTGAACACTCAAGTTACTTGTGATTGAAAACTGCAGATATGCCCAGGGACCAGATTTCAAATCTTTGCTCTCAGTTTGGTTACAGATGGCGTGTTCTAACTTTCTTGGTATTTGTATGTCTTTGCTGCTAGTCAATGCTTCGAGGCCGAGGCGGCTGCTACAAACACACGTTCTACGGAATTGAGAGCCACCGCTGCATGGAGGCCACGCCGAGCCTGGCTTGTGCAAACAAATGTGTCTTTTGCTGGAGGTAAAATACTGATGCAGTTTTATTTTGGGATAGGGACTCTGTTCCACTCTGTCCCTGCCCTGTTCCTCAGACCTAGGGCAGTGTTACTTGTGTGCCCTTTTCACTTGGAAATTGGGGGAGGAAGGTTTTGGAAGGGAGCAGCGTTGCTCCCCCTCCCTGCCTGTACTCCTCTCCTGTGTGCCGTCGAGCCTGCGTCAGGGATGGTAGGAGGTGAGCTGGGTGGGGGGCTCCATCCTGGAGGCTGAAGAGGATCTGAGGGCTCCCCAGTGCCACCTCCCCTAGAGCTGTGTCCTGTGCAGCCAGGTCTTGGGCTCCAGCAAGTTCAGACTAGCTGGGGACCAGTGGAAGAAGGAGGAATCGGGGAGGCAGGAGACAGACACCTCTCCATCTACTGCCCTGCAATTCCCCCTGCTGCCTGCACTAGCACTTGGTAGGGGTTTGGTTCCCTCTGGAGATCACTCGGACTCCCTATGGCTCCTGGTGCTCTGGAGAACACGGGCTGGCTCACTTCATGCAAAGCTGCCAAGGTGCAAAGCGATGTGAGTATCTTTGTTTTGAAACTGGACCATTTTTTAATTATTTAAAGTACCTTCACCCCCACCAATTCAATTCTGTTCTCAATGAGTGTGTAAAATGACTTAATAACTGTTGCCTTCCTAAAACAGTAGCTAATAAATGAGTTTCCATTTTAGTCAGTAAAGTGACCCCTTTTCTCAGAGGAATTACTTTGTTGTTAATTCTCTAAAGGAAATGAGCTTTGCCTGAATCTGAACTGTGAGCTGCACTCGCACTGCTTACTCACTGAAATGCCTGCGTTTCTGAGGGAGGTTTTTGCTAGGCTGGGGGAGTGCAGGATGGAGTTGGTGAGAGAGACTGAGAGGCTCAGCAGAAATAAAAGCAGTGACGTGAAAGCGTACTGAGTGGGAGGATGTGGAGGTTATTTGAGCTCTTTGTCTTCTACCTTGCTAGCTAATTCATACCAGGGGGGCTGTGCTTCCTTTGGTATTTATGTCTACCCCAGGGGACTGGCTGCCAGGAACACCCATTCCATCCTTGAGCCTGGGTGTCCAACATCCCAATATTTCTTTGCACAACCAGCTAAATTCCTCTAAGCACCACTTCTGTCTTTCATAGTTTTCAAGTTTTAATCATGCAAATATTTAATGAGAATATTTAAATGACAGCATCAGTGCAAAAGGACTGCTATAATTTTGAAGGCGCTTTGAAGCTGTCTCCCATGTTAGTGTTAAGTATAAGTGTTAGACACTGGTCATCCTATTAAGTTTGCATTTGGGAGTCTATATTCTAAAATGTTACTTGGTGTTCTTAATGGGCTTTCATCATATCCTGGCTTGAAAGGACACAGCAAATGACATATTTAATGTGCAAGTTTTGCTGCTTTTCTTCAGAGCGATATAATGACTGTGAAGAAAAATGTGCTGCTCATGTATTTTTTTTTTTTTCCATGTATCAGCTAGCAATGGTGCGCTTAATTCAGCTGTGGCGACTGTACTGGTAGGAAGAAGATTGCCATGCATATTATTGTCCCTCTGTCCCTACACAAAAGGTACATCATAAACAGCAGATAGAAAGCAATAACATCGTCAGAATGAGGCATTTTGTTCCTAGCATTGCACTGCAGACCATTTAACACTGTTCCCCTTCAGAATGACCCAACTCTATTTCTTAGCAGCAGCAGACTGCATCTGGAGCATGGGACTGAATCAGGGAAGTCAAACAAGTGTAAATTGAAGAGTGCAGTAATTGGGATAAATTGCCATGTGTGATACATTCCATGTGCCTCTAACTCATCATCCTGTGTAACCGTTATTTGTCACTTTTAGGAGGAATCCGGGAAACAGTAGCTTTAATGAGAATGAATGCTAGAATGCTTATTTTACTAATGGTAACAACCTGAAGGCAAGGAAGTGGCTTTCCAGGGGACTGTGCTGAAAAATGTTCTCATTTATTTACCTTCTGCAGGTGAAATGGGTTGCAGTTGTTGGACTCTTCCTTATGGACTGCAGCTCTCTGTCTTCTATTCTCAAACCTCTATTATAGAGTTGGAAGACTTAAGGCTCCGTTTGAGACCCATCCCAAGGCTCATTTTATGTACATCTTAAGCTTGACATAAACCAGAACTGCTGCTGAAAGAAGCTTTCTTCATTTTGGTTGCTTTTTCAGATCATGTGCTTGGGTTGCTACAGCCTTTGTATGGCTGTGAGCCGTTCTGGTCAGGGTAATTTGGGGTGGGAAGAAGGGACTTCCATACCCAGTCTCCTCCCTGATGATTGCATGTCAGCACAGTTCACAAACCCTGCAGCCAGGGCTATCTATACACCTTTTATTTTAAACCCACCACGCCTTACAGATTCTTAAGTCATGTGAGACTAAATGTAGAATTGCAGGCACCGGTGACTGGGTAGGATAAACATGTTACCTTCTTATTAGCAGTTACCATCTGTGCTGTTGGAGATGTATGAAGCAGTAGTTTTGATCTACTGTTGGCAAAATGTTTTCAATACCGGTTTTATGCCTTGCTGGTCTCATCGTGCAGCTCTGCACACTAAGTTGCAGATAAGACTGCTGTGATTCTTTTTGCTTGATCTCTTCTTTCAGGGTTTTGATGTTTGTAGAGCCTGCCAATATTTCCAACTGCATAAACACCACAGCTCTCCCAGGATCGCTGAGGAAAAGGCCAAGGAGCCTGCTTGTTTTTCCTTCCTCACTTTGGCAAGAAATGCAGCAATTCAACTGCTTTCCTTGGGAATTGGATGTCATTGTAGTTGGCTGGTTGTGACTGACATATTTTGGCCTTGAACCAGGAATCATGGGTGAAACCAGCATCCAAGCACTCCAAGTTAGGGCTTTTGTAAGAGATGTAGGTTGACTCTACACTGGAGACCTTTCTTCTCCTCCTTGTCCTTGGAAGGGTACATCCCTGGTAGATATCAAGTATGCCAGTGCCCTCTTATTGGTGTGACTGCTGGATTGAACTTCCCTGCCTCTCCCTTTTAGAGAGCTGGCTGAGAGTTTGGTGATACAGGTTTATAATGGGACAGCTTCTTTGGAGGACAGAAAAAGCAGATTGTTCATTTGTGTGGCATTCCCTCAGCAAGGCAGCAGCCACGCTGTGTTGAACTCCTGAAGCTGTTGCATCAAGAGCACAGAGCAGGGGGGAAAAAACCCCACACCTTAATTATTGCAACATCCCTAAGTCATAATTCTCCCTACAAAAACAGTCTGTTCATATCCATTATTGCTCTCAGCTGGTCTTGCTGTGTTTGTAGTGTCTCTTTAGCTTAATTGTCTAAATGGAAATGTGCAAGTGACCAAATCTTTTAATCAATTAGAGCAATTGTGGGGACTGAGGCTTTCTGACACTGCGTTGCAGCACAATCACCAGGCAAACCTGATTTGATTATGTTTTCTGGCTGAGTATCTAAAGCCCAATCAATTATTGTGGAGAGATGGAACAGCTAAATAAGATTTAAATTAATAGGGTTTATTATTTTTCCATCTGAGGAGGCAAACCAGGCAGAGTGAAATATCATGTAAAGCAATTGGTTCATATTTCTTCTTCTGTAACTTTATGATATTTATACCTGTACTTGAAGGTTTTAGCTTAAGCTTGTACAGTAGACAACAGCTGAAGTTCTGTTCAGACGATGTAAATAAATTTGTGGCCAAAAGCCAGCGATCACGATAAGCCCTGCAAAATTAAGAGATTAAAAATTAATAATATCTCATAGGAGAGGTACTTAATAAGGTCATTAAAAAATTAAGAAGAATTTGAAAACATAAATTAAAACAAAAGCTTCTTCTCATTAAGTAACTTGACTCCAGAGGCTAAATTGTTCAGGGAAATGTGAAATATTATGATATCAAATGAGTTGACACTGCAGCTTTATAAAGCCTGGAACCTGAGCCTGGAAGCTCAGAGTTTCCTTGCATCTCCAGCCACCAGTCCTTGCTTTGAGTTAATACTCTCCTTTCCCGGTGTTTAAATTTTTGTTATCTTTTTGTTTACAGAATTAATGTATTGTGATCCAAGGTTCATTATTTCCTTCAGATTTGATTCTTCACTGGTTGGTTGACCTTTGGGCCTGTCTGCCTTCCAGGAGCTCTTGAAATAACCATATAAATGAGGTGGGAGACAGGGCAACATAGAATAGACCTAGTTCATGCCCCTGTCAATGGTTAAAAAAAAAAAAGTTCTTGGTGCCTTTATGTGCTGTTTTGCCAGCACCAATAATTGGAGGCATTTCTAGTGGAAAACTTTAATGTGGTCCATCAGGTGAGGTGAGAGCAGAGCCTGGTGACAGTCGGGCCAACTCACAGGAGTGTTGGCCCTTTGAGGCGCTGGCAGTGCTGTCTTATGCACTTACGTGTGTCTTGATAGTTACTGCAGGTGGTTGGTGATTTGGTACCCAGAGTTTGCACCCCCAGCCAGGTTGGTTCCCCCTCAGCTGTGGTAAGCCAGCCTCCAGAGCCATCATTCAGCTCTTGGGAGCTGCTGAATAGGACCAGTCCAGGACACAACCCTGCAGGTGCCTTTTGGATAGATCTGATGCCCTGAACCAGGAGTAACTAATCTTTGGTTCAAGCTTACCACCCTGATTTGTGCTTTCTTACAAAACAGTGCTACCCTGTAGAGTGTTTCTTTGAGCATATTATAAGACTTTTGGATAAGATGGTGTAAAAGTTTCAACCTCTTGTCCTTTCCCTTTGCCTACAAAGACCAACGGTGGTCTTGGCATGAAATGTTCTCAGCAGATTCATGTTGGCTGTTACCTATCTTGGTGCTGTGTTCTGGGACTCACAAATGCAACTTTAATCCAGTATGTCCTGGGGAAGAGAGGCTAGTATAGAAATCTTTGGCTCCTGCTAAAGTGGACGTTGCATATGCACCTATCTGGTGTGTTTTAAATCTTTTACATGCTTCTCATAAACTTTCAGCTTATGGCTAGTGACTCTAATACTGTCAGCCACTTCACCCAACATGCTGTACAGTGAGTTTAATCATCCTAGTGAAAACATTTCGTTTAGACTAAATATCTCTAACCTGTCCTCTTCCTAGTCTAATCTGGGCTTTTCCCATTCTCATCCCAGAAAGCACAAGGAAAGGTGCAAACAGGTTTCTTCTTGTCATGGAGAAACGTTAAACACTGTTTGCTTGTGCATCGGGCAAGATTTTTTTTTTTCCTTGTCTTCCATTTTCTCCTCACATTATTATAGGGAAAGTTGTTCTTGTTATCCCTTTTGTATGTCCTTTGCTAGTTATATCTGATTTTTTTTTTTTTTTTTTTTTTTTTTTTTTGCCTTGACCTTTCTGATTATGACCCTGTGTTGTGCTTTCCTCTTATTTTCAGCTGGAGGATTGCAAGGTTGCAGAAGAGCCTGTGATTCTGCCAGATTGGTTTCTTGCTACTCTTCATATCTTTGCTCTTTATTGCCACAATTTGCACTTCTGCCTTAATAGGGTTTAAAAAACTGCCAGTTCTCCTGAACTCCTTTGCCCTTTTCCTCTTGGGATCTCACCTGCCTGTTCTCAGGGTTCACTGAAGTCTGCTACTTGAACTCTCTTGTTTTTAATCTGCTCTTTCTCTTCCATCCCTTTCTGGGAACCATGTGCTCTGTCCTTTTATGATCATTGCTGCCAGCATTTCCTCACCTTCATGTTCCTACCAGGTATCAACATCAATCAGCTGATCACTGGAGTAAATGATACTTCATAGCCATACTGCATTTTCCCTCAAAATTTCTTGAAAGACTTTGTAATACTAAACATTGCTCACAGAAGAATGACCATTTTGAGAGGGTATAAAGCAAAAGCTGATTTATTAAAATAATACACAAGTGATTAGGCAGAGATGCACTGCCCCCCTGAAGCATGTACCTTCGGAGGGCTGACTGCCAAGGACACTTTGGTAATACTGGCGAATGATACTGGTAGATCAAAGGTCTGATGAGAATGCAAATAAGGCTGGATTGGAGACAGTCTCGTTAGCCGGGGAGAGTGGGGGTGAGCTGGGAGCTCCCTATGGTGTTTCATGCAGTCTTGCATTGCCCCGTGGGGGTGGGGTGCTGTGGCACTGATGGCTTGTCTCTGAAGTATCAAATCAAGCCTGTTTCACACCTGGAATCTTTAATAAAATAAGGATTTTCTGGTGTGTGTGGTTTTGGGTGAGACCTTTTTTGCTTGTGTTAATTTGGGATGGGAAGGAATGCTATCTATGCACAATTACCTGCCCAAGACTTGAGTAGCTGGTGAGGTGGATGATGCGGAGAGTCACAGAGCCTGCATGGGAGTGGGGAGGTGACAGTGAAATTCTCTGTGCCAGGGACTGTGAAACAATCTCATCGGCCGCAAGACATTACTTTTTCCCTGCTATTAGAAGAGAAACTGCTTTCTGCCAAATAAGCTGCTTTGTAGACATGACCTGGTATGTTTATTAAACAGTTAGAATGTGTTAAAAATTCAAGGACTGTTAGAAACTAATAGCTGTCCAGCGTGCTTCAAGAGCCTATTGATTTTCTGCCAACTTGCCCTATTAAATATACAAGGTACAAGTTATGTAGTTAAACATGTAAGAGTTTTATAAATGCCTTTTATAGTTGGCATTCAGAAAACTTTCCATGTTGGAAGACAAAAAAAAAAGGGGGAAATTCAAAAAGCAAAGCTGTTTTAGTTTAAAGGATCTTTGAGATGGTGAAATAATTTGAGCAGCATTTCAATCTTTGCTCTTGAAGTGGATGAAGGAACATTTGGGCTCAAGGGCTGTTTTTATTGATGCTGGGTCTAGAACTTGTGTGTGTTAGCACTGTCAAAGTGTGGAGCTGCAGGTCTTTCCCACTTGGAGAAGTCAGTGGGAGTCTTATGATTGTCTTTGGTGAGCCACTGGACCAGCCACTTCATTCTGAGAAAGTGCTTCCCTCTGTCTTTTCTCCTTTAGTTAAATGCTGGGCATCATGTCCTAATGCCCACGTAGCTGGAAGGCTGAATACAGCAGGTAACATCACAGTTGTCTCTGGCTGACTTCCAGGGGTGATGGAGGAGGGTAGAGGAAACAGAGATCAGCTGGTCAGAAAACAAAGTTTCAGGAGTATATATTGCTTGATCTTGTTTTATTGTCCAGATCTATGGTAATCCAATAGTGCTATATTGAAAGACACTGCAAAATATGCTACTCTTCTATTAATAAATTATTCTGAGAGTTGCAGTAGAATTTGTAGGGGGAAAGTGGAGGAACTTTTATACCATATTTTGGGAAAAAGTAGGAGAAGATGGAGACGGAACAGGAGGTGAAGGCATGGAAGTTTGTTGTTAAAGGCTGAATTATCCCTGTTCAATACCAATCTAAGTACAACAAGGTTAGTGGGAAGTTCCTCTCACTAGAGAGGTCTGTGCCCTTGGAGAGGCGTTCTCTGGGTTGTATTTGTCCAGTTGCGAGCATGATGGCTATCACACCAGTTGCTTGTAATAGTTAATTTGCTGGTCAGGATGCACTTTTTTCCAGATGACTTACAATGGCTTTGTAACATCCTCTCATGCTAAAGAAATAGGGAATGAGGAGAAACTCATGTATTTTCCAGGTGCTTGGGTGGATTTGCCTGGACAAGCTTTTTCCATTTTTAAATAAAACTCCTTTCGGAGTAGGCAGGGACAGCTTCCTAACCCAGTGTGGCACAAGCTGTCCCTTAAATGGAAGATCAGTGTTTTTTATCAATGTGCTTGGCTCTGAAATTAAAATTTAATTTTTATTTTCTGCATTTGAGTTTAGGTAGCATTGTAGCCAGCAGATCTCAGAAGTGATGAGAAGCCCTTACTGAGTAAATCTGGGAGATTAACCAGATCCACCAGCAATGCATCTCCAGCATACTGCAGACTTCCTAGTCTCTTCATTACAGTTTGAAGTAGTCTGCCATCATCTGTCTTGTTATTAGAGTATTACACAAAGATTGGGTTAGAAACAGATTCTGTTCTCAGGGTGGCAGTTGGTACCTTCGCAATAGAACTAAAAATGGCTTAGGGCCTTCCTTTTCTACTGCTTTGCACAGATCATCATTTTAGCGTAGAAACTTTTTACCTGGGCTTCAAAATAGGTATGTTAAGTTTAATATAAACTGCAAGGTCCATTCTTCCTTCTGGGGAGACCAGAGACTAGAAGGTGAGTGGTATGAGAATAGTGTTCAAAGATGACATCTGAAAGTTGTCAGAGGCAGGATATAGCTGAGAATCTCATTGCTTTTAATATTATTAAACAATGCCAAAGTCCCCAGGGTGACAGACGTGCTTTTCTGTATGTTACAAACGACACTGAATAACTGTCTTTTTTTCAGACATCATACAAATCCAGTGGGCACAGAGTGGCGGTGGAAGATGGACCAACCTGAAATGATCTTGCAGGAGGCTATTGAGAACCATCAAAATATGATCAAGCAGTTCAAAGGTAACTTTTCCCACTTCCCCATTCATGATGCTTTTGAAAGATAACCAGCAGTAGTATATTCAAAGCATAGATGAAAACATTCTGGTCATCTGTGAAATGCTGGGAAGGAGACATGGGATTTATATCAGAAATATGGGTGAGAAGAAAATTTTGTGGCACACTTACTGTTTTCTGAGATGATCTACCTTGGTTTTGACATTAAAACGTGAGTCAGCCGTTCGGTATCTACTGCTGCCTTGAGGGAATAGAGTGGAGTTGCCTCTTGTGCATCTTGGTAGTTGTCATCTCTGTGGACACTGAGGAAAAGGATGCTTCTGCAGTGGTTAAAGCTGGTCTGGATGATAAGGGATGTTGATTCTTATGTAAAAGTGAGGGCAGGTAGAAGGTATCAACCTCTAACCTGATGGGAAATATACTGCCCAGCCTTAATCCCCTGGGAGCTTTTGTGTCAGCTCCGAAACTTCTAGATTGCATTTTTCTCTTTAGTGGCTGAGCAGTAGCATTCAGGGTATTAATATTTTCAGGAATTACTCAGTACATCTGGTAGTGACTGAAGTTGCAGTTACATAGCACCTCTGAAAAGTACTATATTTTGCTTCCCATAGGAACTCCTTGTAAGTTTGTTATTTATTCGTTATGTATCTATAGACATATATATAGATGGCTGGGGTGTCTTCTTTTTTCCCATATGCAATAAACTTGGTTACTCTGCCAAGGTCAGCTTTGTGTGCAGGGAGGGCTGGCCAGTTTAGCAGGACAGGTCTAGGATTCTGTTCTTCTTAACTGACAGCCAAGGCTGTGTGAGCAGCAGGAGTGGAATGAAGCATCCATAAAATGTGCAAGATGAGCTTTCGTCTTGGCTGTCATTTTGGGAGCCCGTTTTTTTATGTTGGCTGGGCACAGAGATAACCCAATGGATTAAAGATGTGATGGACAAAAAGCCCTTCTGTCAGCAGAGCAGAGTTGCTCCATCTCATTCACTGGAGTTACATAATAGGTGGAAAAATAACTCAGGCTAGGGCCTCGTGAGCTTCATTTTCATCAGGTGGCTGGTTTGAATCATCTTGCTCTGTCAGACCGGCAGTTCCAGGGAAGCCAGTTCTGTGGGAGCTCCTGTGCTGGACAGGATAGGGAGCAGCCAGAATAACCAGACCTTGCTGCACTCTGCCTGTTGCACACGTGTGATCCGGTGGACTGGATCACAGCTCTAAAGCTTGTCCAGGGGAAAGCAGTGAAGGTGCTGTAGTGAGCAGGATAGGGAAAAAAATGATGTTAATTTGGTAGGGGAAGCTTTCACTGGGGGAGAGGTGGTGGGGTGAGTCAGTGGAGGAGGTCGTTGGTCTCTGTAGAGCACCTTACTTCAGACTAAGCAAAGCACAGTTGTCAGTGCTCGAGGCAGGGCAGTCTGTAAGGAAGTGCAGGTCTCATTGCCCAGCTTCGGTGTTTCTTTTGCACTGCAGCCATGTGGGCAGTATGGGGAGAGTGCTGAGTGCCTGCAGCAGTGCTGCCTGGCAGGCTGGGACAGAGCTGCTGCAGGGTTTCATGGATAACTTAACTCAGCTGGTGGGGTGCAGTGCCAGCACAGCAGGAGTTTGGGTACAGGTGGTTTGTATGAGTGAAGAGCATGTAGGATGTCACACTTTGTCTGGAAGGCTGTAACAACCACAGAAGACTGTTGCAGCTATAAATGAGAGTATTCATGTTTAACATGCAAGGCACTGAGCGCTTTTCAAACTCTACTCTTTTATTCAGTCTGTTTTGGATAACCATGCTCTTAGATGAGTTGAAATGTGTCTGGACGTGTTGAAATCTATACCTCAGTAGCTTGAGGTCAGTTTGGTGGCTAGTAACAAGCAGAGTACTTTAGGGACTGATCCGAGAATGAATGTTGCACATCTCCATCAACAGATGATGGAGGTGATATTGAATTCAACCTTCAACCACTCTGAAGAAGGTGACACTAATTTAGGGAGGGTGGCAGGCACACTGAATAGCACAGCTTTACTTCATTCACCTTGAGAAACGTGATTATTGGGCCAATAAATGCATGTGAACTTAGAGAAGTAGAAGGTTCTATATGAGTGTTATAACCCCATATCAGTCCACGCTGGGAGACCCACCTGCCTTAGAATAAGGGACAACAGATGTGGGTTTCTGTGGGTTTCTCTTTAGGAGGTTCAAGTTAGACATTAAAATAAGCTTATTCAGTCAAGGTGGTGCCTAGAGAGGTGGGGGACTCTTTCGAGTCTGTAAGTAAAGCCATTATCACCCTGGTCCAGTGTTGGCAATTGTCCTCTCTGAGCAGGAGGCTGGACTAGAGACCTGCAAGAGCCCCTCCTTAACCCACTATTCTGTGACTTTGGTTGTTAAAATTGAAAGTCTTAATAACAACCCTCCTCCGTCTCAAGGGACGACTTGACTTAAATTTATATTTGCTTAGGAAGAGGCTGTGTGTTGTTTAAAGTCATGACTAAATTTGCATGCAGCTACTAATGGAGTGTGAAAACAGGAATTGCCCTCCAGCTGTGCACTACTGGTGCAGTGTGGTGGAAGTGCTGCCCCTGTATGGCAGAATTGTGTGGTGTTTGGACTAAAGAAAGGGGAAAAGCAAAAGTTATTTTGCAGATGCTTGAAAGCCTTATCTTCTTGTGAAAGCTGAGTGCAGGAATCTGTTTAAACCCAGCTTCAGACTAAGGAAATAACCCTCTCCTTCCCATACTACCCTGTGATGTCCTCTCAAAAAGGGTTGGGGAAAGAGAAACTTGGTAGTATCTAAAAATATTCCCAAAGTGTCGAGAGGCCTGTAAGGACATCCCAGTTCTCTCTTTTAGGAGCTTATTTTCCATTAAAGAAATTTGTAAATATTACCATAACTTGCATGTGCATCCTCAGCAGTTACCCTTGAACTCGAACTGTGAAAGGAGAAAAAACAAACAAACAAAAAAAATAATCACACCTCTGGACTAGAATGCTGTGCTGCAAAGTGGAAAAATAAAAGATATGTTACTTTTTCAGAGTGATAGATGGCAACATGCTTCCCGTCTTGAGAGCCTAAAAGCAAAAGGTTTATTAAGGAGAAGAAAAATCAGTAAGAAAAGCACAGTAGCTTGCTGCTACATTTTGTGAATTTTACATTGTCACTTCCCTGAGGTGCATGTGAAAATATTGTTAGAGTAGAATCAGTGAAAGCAAAGTTGAGTTGAAACACTGTGCGGTAAACTGAAGCCAGGGAGAGTTAAAAGATGTGCAGTGTCTTGCAGGATGAAAGTCCCCTGCATGCTGTGCCAGAGCTGTCCTCTGTCCAGGTTGGAAGAGCCTCAGGCAGAAAACCTGACTGTCTACTTTCAGAGAAAACTTAGCAGCACTCCACAAATAGGTTGGATTTGATTATGATTGGTTTAAAAAAAACAACCAACCAAAAAAAAAGCCAAAACCATACATACTCAAGCCCCACAAACCACCCCAAGACTGGAGCAGCGAGAGGGACTAGATTGCAGTGTTGAAGGAGGGCAGGTTGCAGCTGGGCTCTGCAGCCACAGGGACCCCGGAGGAGTTTCCAGCAGGCTGCTGTACACACCTGCGATGTTTGAACACTGACCCCCAACGTAGAGCAAACCAGACTCTTCAGGCTACTGGAGAAGAAAAGCATGGGGAAAAATGTCTTGGCTAGAAAGCCCTCAAGGCTCTTGAGTGTCTGGTAACGATGCTCAGATAACACCCAAAGCTATTTGGATAAACTGGTGCTCTTTCTAGCACTGGTACCACAGCTTTGCATTCAGGTGCACACAGACACCTCTGTGTGCCAAAGGAAATGGTGAGCTCATCTGATGCTTTATTAATTCTATGCATTGTAGGAAAAATTAGATCATCTTTGAAGGAACAGAAGAATTCTTGGGGACCCTCCTGTGCTATAGGATATCCTAGAGGATAGCCCTGTATGTAAGAGTCCCTATGCATGCTTTTAGAGATGATGGTATGACATCTTCTCTTTTATTGTTGCCATAGTTTGTACTGGTTTTGAAGACCATAGACATTAATGTCACATAATTCTCTTAAGTAACTGATGGAGAGACGTCTTAGTGATAGGGAGCTAAGGTGGGAAGGTGTAAAGTAGTTGATTTGATGGATACATTTTCTACGTAGTGGCTAGTAAATCTCTGTGCCCTTAGGAAGGACACACACGGAATGGAAACATAATTCAAAAATAGGAGAGTGGGAGTCTCTGATAATACAGCCCTGGTTCAACTCGGGGAAGAATGAGAAAAACAAAAATGCATGACCTGAACTAGGAAATCTGAAGACTACATGTGTCTCGCTGTAAGGGTGGATAAAATGGGTTCCTTGTCCCCTCAGTCACCCAGGCATTTGTGATGTGTACAGGTACTTGCAGAGAGGCACCTGAAATCAACCACCAGCATTTCTAGGGTGATGTGCCAGATGATGCTTTTCTTTCCCAAATTAAAGTGCACCAGTAGGAGAGCAGCTGGAATCAGCTTTTCGGAGGAGATATGCTGATCAGAGGAAGCTTGGCTGCATGCTATGCTGAGATCTGGGCTCGGCAGAAGCTGAAAACTGTATGCCACTGCTTCTTGCAGAGGCTTCGCAAGTTCCTACGGCTCTAAGCTCCTGCCACCTGCATTGGGTCTGCTGCACGCCCTACAAAATCTGCCCAGGCTCTGACTTTGCTGGAGTTCGTTGGCTGAAGGCACAAGGAGGGTCATCTACAGGAACAAAGGTTGAGTGCTGTAGTGGTATGGCAGCCAAAAATGCAGGAGAGTTCATGTGTTCCCCGAATACCCACTAATCCTGTTTAGTTTATCTTTGTCTAGCTTGTGATTTATATGGTCAAATGATTGCATACAAAACCTCTACCCTTCTCTGGAGTATTTATTATATGCCAGATTTGCTGTAAACTGTTTTGAGAAAGTTACTCTCAAACTTTATAAGATGTTAGAATTTTTTTCTGTCTGCTTATAAAGCTGGCATGGTAATTATTGTAGTCCAATTGAAAGATGCTGAGAGAGAAAAATTAATTGATTCCAAAAGTGACTTACAGTAGCTTTAGGAATATGAAAGTTAGTCTTTTAATCTCAGTGTGTGGTTGAGATGCTTCTTTCTTTTCAAATAAAGTTCTCATTTAGTACTGTCAAGTTTCTGCAGAAAAACCATTAGTCCTGTCACTTATTCAGGACGGAGCCTGGCTTGTTTAAAATGCACTACGCTTTGCTCTGATCGCAAACCAGCTTTTTTACATGAGGCTGAAGCAATATCCACGAACACCTCTTTTTATCTGGGCTTTGCAGCATAGCATGTAATTTTCTGTACTGCTTGAGCTCCAGCGTCTAGGCAACGAGAGGTGAGCTGATGACCTGGTTTCAAACTCAAGTCTTAGTTTTTTTTTTAAAACAGACCAACCCTCCATCTAAAACCTCAGATATTATTCAAGTACATCAAGGCGCGTCAAGGAAATGTGTAGTGACACGTTTGGAACAAAAGCTCATTTGCAGTCGGATGATTTCATATGGGGTCCTGAGCACTTGGTCAGATACTGAAGCTGAGCATTCCCTCTTCAATACGGATGGGCTGGAGGAGTATTTGCCTCTCCCCTGCCCTCCTGTGGGTATAATAAGCAGGACTCAGATTGGTTAAATCTGCAGATAGCATTTTCACCTGGACCCTACAGTTGAGCTCCTTGTGTTTTCCTCTTTCCTGCTTGGCAAAATGTGTCCAGCTCCTTTGGGGATCTGGTCTTCATGGGGCTGGGGGACCACGGGGGTCAGCAGTAGAGATGGACATAACCTGTTTTTTTTTTTTTTTTTTTTTTAAAAGATTCCTACTAGAAGCAGCATTAAACTGGCTCTTGTGTTTCTGTCTTGGCATTGGCAGGTAGCATCACTGAGGTCTTAGCTGTGGAAAGCTTGACTCAAATCACACGCTGCTCTGTGGATTCCTGCGGAGCTGGCTCAGTGGGCACTGCCTGCGGCCCGGTGTCCCCTCTGGTTCAGGAGGGCTCCAGCTAGTTTTCCTCAGTCTTCCTTTTGCCAGGGTGTATTTTAGATACAAACGCGTGATTTGGGAGGGGGTTTGGTTGGTTTAAGCCTGTCTTCCCTCTTTCTGCAGGCGTGTCAGGAGTAAAAGCGGATCGCTTTGAGGAGGCAATGACGGCGAAGCACTGCGCGCTGTCACTGGTGGGAGAGCCCATCATGTACCCAGAGATCAACCGGTTTGTGAAGCTCCTGCACCAGCACAGCATCTCTAGTTTCCTGGTTACAAATGCACAGTTCCCAGATGAGATTAGGTAAGAGTTGGACAAAATATCTCCCTACTAAAGCTTTTGAGTGCTGACCTGTGTTTTAATTCTATTTTATCGCTCATCAGGGTCAGCTCTGCATGAGCACTGACAATGAAAAAACCCCACTTGGCATCTATTTGATTTTAACCTTAATCTCCCTGTGTTCCTTCTCATCTCTTTCTTTCCCCCAGTTTGATTTTCTTTTTGATGTCTTTAAACAAAGTGTGATTACTTCTGAAAGCGAAGAGGATGTAATATAGTACCTCCCAGAGGTGTGAGGGAATAACAGTGAGCGAGCTGCGTTTTCTGCTTGGGGACATGGATAAACTGGTGTGAGCGTTTCCGACAGCTTGAGCAGGAGACCGAACTCATAAATTGCCTTTTTGGTTTGTGTGCTTCTCTTGCAGTCTGATCTTTGTTCTAACTCGGTAAGACCAGCTGTAATGGCTCAAACCAGAGATACTCATCTGCAAAAGTGGGATCAGTAATTTTTAACCTCCCTCTTAGAGGAACTGGAGCTAAATGTTCGAAACATTTTAATGAACTCTGATAAAAGAGTCTTTACAAATGCAAAGAATCCCTGTTTCTGATGGTTTTGAGCATCCAGGCTGCTTTTAATGAAATCTGAAGCAATGTAGCAAGGAAATGCAGCACATGGTGTGAGCTGCAAGGTGGTTGGGAACTCATCAGAATGGCATCAGCTAATAACACTGTGAGAGTCCAGCCCTGGAGTTACGTGAGTGTGTTAGGGGAGCGGTACGCAGGGTGGATTTGGTGTGTCGCTCAGCTTGTCATTTCAGCTCTTAGTGCTAGCACTTTCTGGTAGAGCTTCCTTTTCACTTCCTTCTCGTGGTCTGGATATGGCAGTGAGGGGGAAGGGCACGCAATTTTTGAGTGAGTAATTATACACTACAAAGGCATTCCAAATGATTGAAGAATTGTGTAATCAAGTTACTTTAAGTCATGTATTATGTGCTTGATAGACAGAAATTGCTCATTCCTAAAAATAGCATTTTAAAAAGAGAGCACACTATTTTGAAGCTGCATTTCTTAGGATCTGCTGAATGTTTTTAAAAAGAAACAAAAAAGAAAGTGATAAAATGCTAGTCTTGCTGTCTTAAAAATTGCAACTAATCTTTGGCTCATCAAAGCAAATGATTTGCTTAATTTGGTAACTGAAGTATGCACCAAGCTCGCTTTGCCATTGTCAGCAGAGGGGAGCTGCAGTCTAGAAGTTAGTCCTAAAATAGGCAGCGTGACCTCTGGCATCCAGTGTGCAAATGGGAAGCGTGGCCTGGGGTGTTCACTGGGTTTAAGAGTGGGGCCTGTTGGGTCTCCAGAATGGTGCTGCCTGTGCCTTCCTCCCTCCTCTCCTCCTCCTCTTGCATTTGAACTGCAGCTTCATCTGCCTCCAGGCACACACACGTTTTCATAAAGCAAAGGAGGTTTTATAGCACATGAGCTCGTATTGAACAGTTACCTGGCTCTTGTCCTCTTCCTCCTCTTGTTTCTGATTAGGGGCTGTGAACAAGAACCCTTGTGTATGTGTTTGCATTTATAAGCATCAATAGTAATAATGAGCGGATGCTTATTATCGCTCATAAGCAAGTGCTCATTTTTATTATATTGATGTTTCTGTTGTTTGTATCATTGACTCGGCTGTGTCCTGTCTGGCTTGTGAAACCACCTTGTGACTGGTGGCCTGAAGTCAATTTATTGCTCTTGAGTTGTGCTATGCTGCTCGGTCATGACTTCTGCCCAAGTACATATGTGATAAATGCTGTGAATATGATCTCCTGGATGCAATTTTAACTGTCTAAATTAGCTTGGAAATTGCAACCAAAAATTAAGGAGGAACGTTGGAAAATCCATCCCAGTATCACGCAACTAAATTTCCTGTTAATTATGAAAAGTAGCTGTGTTCTGGGAACACCAGTTTGTGCTCTCCTTCTCCCTGGTGCTGGCTGGACCCATGACTGCCCTTTCTCCTTGTTCCCCTTTGGCAGAGCATGCGTGGGGTCAACCTGGCTCCAGTCCCAGCCATGGCAGAGCCCTGTGGGCTGTTCTGTTTTGGAGCAATGTGGGGCAGAAACCCCTGCCTGGGATCTCCTCATTTCTCAGTTTTCTCCATTATAACAGTGAGTCTAGCTCTTGCCTGTCTTTAGGATTGAGATCCTCAGGGATTATTTTTCTCAGTTTGTTTTGAAAAACACTTGTTCCATCTTCAGTAGGACCCCTTTTAATTAGGCAAATGCAGTGTTAAGTAAAAAAATGAGTATTTTAGCTATGTTCTTTGAAAATGAATACTTCAACCCACTTATGCCTAGAACATTTGGTAATTTTTGGAGATTGTGGCTTTGGGCTGCCAGTCCAGAAAAGCTTGTTTACAAAATGGTTTTTTTAACCTAAAATGCAAAATTTGTTCTGGACCTTTTCAGTCTTCTGTCTAAATACACACAGAGAGAATATATTTAGATAGGTTGAGTGTCCATGTTAAGTGGGGTTTTCTGGACATTAAGAGCTCTGTTCAGTTTCATTCTGGGCAGTTCTTGTCACTTTGTCACCTTTGGGGAGGGCAGGGAGGTTTGGTGTATTTTTAGGTGACACTGTTTGGCAGCTGAACAATAGTTTCTAATTTCTCATCTTCTATAAAGAGCCAAATCAAGCTGGGACTATAGCCGGCTCATTAACAGACTTCACAAAAAAAGCTTGGAAAATGTTGTCCTAAAACTATTAAGAGTTAATTACACAGTGCAATTAAGATGCTGTCATTTAATCTCAGAGACACTTGGGTGGAAGATGCCATGAGGGGTAGATCATAGAATATCCGGTTGGAAGGTACCTCAGGGATCATTTGGTTTAACCTTTCTTGGGAAATGTGTGGTCTAGAGAAGATGGCCCAGCACCCTGTCCAGCTGAACCTTGAAAGTGTCCAGTGATGGGGAATCCACGGCTTCCCTGGGGAGATTATCCCAATGGTCAATTGTTCTCATTGTGAAAAATGTTCCTCTTGTGTCCAGCTGAAATCTCCCCGGGCTAACTTGTACCTGTGACCTCTCATCTTTTCCATGTGACCCCTCGTAAAAAGGGAGTCTCCATCCTCTCTGTAGCCGCCCTTTAAATACTGGAACATGGTAACAAGGTCTCCTCTAACCCTTCTCTTCTCAAGGCTGAACAAACCCATTTCACTCACTGGCTTTATCAGTTTTGTCTGTGACAAGGGAGCTCGTTTTAGGTTGTTCCTCTTAATGCCCTGCATTATCCCTTTGCTAATGGACTGCAGTGTTGCTGCTTCTCCTTTATACCTTGGGGTTTACGGAAGAGATTAGTTTCAACCCAGGCTCTTCACATAGCAGAGGTTTAATCTTTTTTAGAAGTTACTGCTGTTGGGCTCACAGATGCTGTGCTCACTGGCATTGTGTGACCAGAAAGACTATACTGCAGGATTTATATGAAATGAGAGCCTTGGAAGTGGAAGGAGAGCACATTGGGGGATTGTGCTTGGTTTTATTTTTCTAAACAGCTTTGACTTCCCTTCAAAAAACTATTTGATGATGCCAGCTGCAGGTTGGGCAAGTTCAATCTGTCCAGCAATATAAACTGGCTGAATTATGGCTGTATTTCTACTGAATGGAGTTATTTTTCCATGGCCCAGGGCAAATAAAACCTGGGGAAGGGGCTGAGCTTCATGGTTTTAACCATGGTGGCTGTGGTGAGAAGCAGAGCGTTTCAGTGCCTCGCATGGACCCCTGGCAGCCTGCTTTGGGAAGGCTTTCTGAATGTGTTACAGCTATACTGGAGTGAAATATGTTCCAGTTCAGTGAGAAAAAGATAATTAGAATGTCAGCCAAGGCCTCTGTGTGTGACATTCTTAGCTTTGGGGCGTATTATTTGTTGAAAGTACATTTTAATGTCTTGCTATTAAGATGATGGTCACTTGGCAGAGATGAACCACTGGACTTTGATAGTTTTCCCTGTAAATACTGTATAGTTTCTGTCTACTGGACCTGCAGAGCAGCTTGTTTGGAAACACTGTATTTTATATATGGTTTGGTAGGAAGACACGAATTCAGTTAGCAGTAATGTCTGAAAGCAACAATTCCCTTCTTTTTATTTCCAAGGAACCTTGAGCCAGTAACACAGCTGTATGTCAGTGTGGATGCCAGCACCAAAGAGAGCCTGAAGAGAATTGATCGACCCCTTTTCAAGGATTTCTGGCAGAGGTTTCTGGACAGTTTAAAGGCCTTATCTGAAAAGGTACCCAGTTAAGAATGTATTTTTAAATATCTTTTTCTTCCTTCTATACATTGCTTGCTCAGGACGAAAGTAGAAGACTTGAGAGGCTTAGGATGGAGAGTGAAATGGGTTCTAGATGTGTTGGAGCATATTTATATGTTTTGTACATTAAGGTGTATGAAGTCCAGCAAGTTTGATCAGTTTTCCAGGTGGGGAGAAATTTAATGACAGAAGGAGAGCAGAATGTGTGTCAAATGAGACAGGGAACTGCTCTGAATACAAGATGCTATGAGGGATGAAGAGATTATAAAACAATAGAAGATTTCTTAATGAGGCCTTTACCCTGAAAGCAAGCTGCTGAAGGAAAACTGGCAATTCAGGGAAGCCTAGGAAGAGTGATAAATTCCCATGGGTCACATAGTAATGGTTCTCAAAGGTTCCCTTGAAATTGCAGTATATAAAACATTAAAATGTGCGTGCTGGTGTTTCTAGCTCTAGTTGCCCTCCTGCTCTATAGAAATCTGCTTACTTCTAGAAGATTTACCCAAAACAGTAGATCTGAGCATAATAGCAAGGGTGACCCGTCACGCTGTCAGCGGTTTGTAGTAGTTTGTGTCCATCTGAGACATCTAAGCAGTGACCTGAAGGCCCATGGGATCATGTCTGCCGCTGTCAGCTCAGAACTTAGTCAACTGTGTAACAGTTTTTGTAGTAATTAATGAAGCACTTGTGGTCCCAGCATCACATGAATTAACAATAGTGCTTCATGAGCATGTCTTCCCTCTCTTATTTACTGATACTGTGCTCTGGAAGCAAGTGCTTCTGTTTACCTATTTGGCAGAAGTTGACACGTTACCTGCTGAGATGAACAGACAAGAGAGACCTTTTCATTTGAATAATGAGTTTTTCAGCCTTCTGAGATGTCAGTGTTGGACCATTTTCTGCCAAATGTACTTGCATTAGTAGATCTGGGAGACTCGGTGTAATTGAGTGGCACTTTCTTCTGCAAAGGCACGTGAGTAGCTTGATCAAGCTGTTTGAGTGCAAGTGTGTCGGCTGATCTCGTTAAGCAAAATCTCAGGCCAAACTCTGAGCTAACTGAAATCAGGTACAAACTTACTAAGTTCTCTGTGTGAGTAGAGGAGGCTGTGGAAAGAAGGGGAGGTAAAATATTGAAGGCAAAAATATTGAAAGCATCTTTTGGGAATTTGATTTCGCCCTGTCTCTCCTGACCCTGGATAGATATGGTTCATTCATTACTGTGTGTTTTAAGATATTTTTCCTTGCAAAGAATTGAAGGTGAATATATTGGCAAGTCTGTCCGTGCAGCTAAAAATACTCTGGTCAAGGTGAAGAGGAAAGGAAAAAGAAGCTCAACTAGCAGGTGCATTTTCTCCTCAAAGCAACTGCACTTTGAAGGGTCCTTGAAACACTGATAACACAAGAGCCAATTAATAGTTGCTTCAGTTGGTAATACACTATGCTGCCAGCCCCTGGTCAGCTGCATATTGCATCATCACACATGAGGGACAGCAAGAAGTCTTGGGGAAGTTGCTGTTTGTTATGTTTTTCTCTTAATATTATACATGGCTTTGGTACCCAGAAATTACCTTGAACCACTTCTGGGCAGAAGCACCTTCCTGTTTTCCTTCTGAGCTTGTTGCTTGGTGTTAATGTGTGATGTTAAGTACTGTTCTGTAGGACTGTGATGAAAGGTGGTGAAAGCTAATGCATCTGCTGATTCTTGAGAAATACAGTTCCTATTTCAGAATAGGTAGGGAAGTGCTGATGCACTGTGTTGGGAAAGTGATGCTAATGTATCTGGAAACAAAATACAAGTTCCATATTTTCACACTGCCTCACAAACCATCCAGGCTTATTCAATTCTCCTGCGACTGAGACAAGCTGGCATTGCAGCTGATATGAGTCACTGCTAATAAGATTCATGGATAAGTTTGATCTATGCACATTTAAAAAATAAAAATGGGCAAAGAGTTTTCAAAAACATAAGTTGTACCTTCCTCTGCTTGCCATCGTGTTGCTTGGCAAGTGCTGTCCTGCATGGTTACCCTGTTCTGGCTGTCCCCGGGGCTCTGTGCTCGGTGCTGCAGAGATGGGTAGTTAGAGACAGGTCCTGCTGCAAAACATTGATAATCCAAGCAGATGAGTAGGAGGAAAGGAAGAGGAGAGGACACAGTCCTAAGTGAGGAAGGTGTGAGGGTGTCCTCCTTGGCTATTGTCTTTCCTGCCACCAAAAACCAGGCTGGTTCTTGTTAAAAGTAGAAATGGAAGGGCCTGGGCAAAGAGGTGGGTTTAAAATCCATTGCCTTATTGAAGCAGTTACACTGATAAGGGATTTAATGATTTTAACTGAACTTCTGCACAAAGTTCTGGAGCCCTTAAAGGAGTGAATTTAGTGACTTGTTCCCAGTATGAGTTGACAGCATTATGCAACATGTTGGTGATTAGTTGCTACAGCATTTTCAAAGGAAGTTCAGGAATAAAAGATAAAAATCTTCTGTGATGTTTCTTTCTGCAGTAAACAGCAAGAAACCCCCTCTTTGTCCACTACTATTTGGAGCAAGTTTTATCCTTTCTAGAGTGATTCTCACTGAGATGATCTTTGTGTTAAATTTTCTATGCTGAGAAAAGTTTTTTTGAGAGAAGAGTTTGTTAAACAGCAGGTAGACTCCCAGAAGACTCCATTTGTTTCTCGTCATGTGTCTTCTGCCCTCCAAATTAAATTGAGAGGAAAAAGATGTTAACATGTGCAATTTAGAATGTGCCCTTTCCAAACGTCACATTTCTTAGTCTTGTCCTCTGACAGCCTTGAGTTTGAGAACGATTGAGGTGACTTGACTTGATAGACAAGTGCTTGGAGGAAGCACTAAGGATGTGAATCCTAATTCTCATTGTAAGGATGAGAAATCTCTGTTCAGTGGTTGAAAGGCATTTCCTCCAGCCATTGCTGCTTCATAATGCTGTATCCAAATGAGAAATGAGGTCCAAAGTAATGATGAGGGTCCTGAAACTCAGGAGAGAAGAGATAGATTTTTCCATACCTTGAAGTTTTATGATGAAATTGATGCTTTTTTTTTTTTCAAAACCACGATTAACCAAACATGCTGTCTGAGCAAGAAAATAAGGAACCAATGTTCTGTGAGTTCTCATTCACCAGCAGTCAGACTTGTGATGCATTTCTGACTTGACTTTGTGCTCTGTTTCCTTCAGTGTTACTAGACCTGTAGGTTGAAGCTTTGAAAACTGTTGTTGTTGTCCATAAATCACCCAGTGTTTTCCCAAGTGATAGGGATGTTGCCTGAGACACATGGGAATCCCCCACTGCGGTACTGATAAATGAAGTGGGGATGCAGTGGCCCGGTATGGCAGAAGTGCTTGCAGATCTCTACCCAAGCACTTTGAAAATAGTTGTAGAAAAAGACGGTGATGGACATACCAGCAGCACGTACCCCATTTGTGGTTCAACAGTACGCTGCAACATCTCTGTTCAGACAGTAAGACAACTCTTGCAGCAAGTGGCTGCTGGTCCGTGGATGTTCGTGGGCTTGATGAGCACTGGGAAAAAGGGCCCTGGTGTTGCTCATGTGCTCAGAGGAGCACTCTCCCAACCCTGACGTGGTGTCACCTCTTCTGTCTATCTTGACTTAATCATGATGAATCCTGTTCAGTCTGCTTGATACACTGTACCTTAGCACTTGCTGTGCTGCCAGACACCGAGTAGGTATTGCTGAACTGCTTTAACTTTGAGAGGACAGGTGCCAATGTTCTCTTAAACAGATTGGAGCCATGCACAAAGCAAACGGGGGAAAAACCCTTTAGGTTAATAGATGTTATGGCACTGCAGGAACTGATGATGAAGCAGAACCTTATCCTTCCTGTCCTTCCAGGAGGGTCACAACAAGCAAAAGAAACAATTTATTTCTGGAGTTCAGTTAGACTTATGCCTTTAGACGTCATGTGCAACTCTTGCTTTAGATCTTGGGTAAAACCTTGCCCTCAATCTTTTTCTACTTCAAGGGAATTAAGATTTTCAGAGACACAGGGTCATGGCTCTCTGGGCAAGGTGTAGCAAATGTCTGGTTGTTTTTTTTCTTTTTCGTTATTAAAAAAGGATCAAAAAGGGAAATTCTTAGCTCTGCTTGTCCTAGGATATCACAAATTTGACAGTGCATGGATTTAGCGCCTATGGGTATGTACTCCTTGCTGAAAGGTGCTAGAGATGGTCTGTCCAGAGAAAGACAGGAAATATTAAAATGCCTTTTATTACCATCTTCCAGGTCTGCATTTGCATGCTGCTTACAGGTAGTTCCTTTTACTTTTCTGGATGATGAAGATGCCAGCTTGCATATTTAAACATTTTCAGGCTTGCATCTGGTGCTGTTTACTTTAGTCTTTATTTTTTTTTTTTTCCAGTGTGATCCTTTCTTCAAAGTTACCATTGGCTTCTATGTGATTACAAATGTAGTGTAAATACATTGAGTTACATCTTAAGCACGTTTTAGTGCTTATTATATAATATATGACAGTAACAATTGCTTTTATGAAAAGAGCACATTTGATTTGCATGGAGATTATTTATGTGGTTATTGGGGGAGGGGAGCTGGTTTGTAGAGCCTAGTCTGATGTTTCTGAGCTAAGTGACTTTTTTAAGGAGAATTTAAATGTAAAATTTGCAACAGATGTTAGAATCAGTAATCAATTTTGCCACTATAAATTTAGAAGAATTTGACTCTTCTGCACAGTAAATGTTCTCCACCAGCTGTGTTCTTGTTTTAATGGTTTTGCTAATGAGACTTCTGGTATAAGCCTTTTGAAATGCAATATGATGAGTGTTACAAAGGTATGATGTTTAATACTAAGTTATTGTCTCTGAAATACATTATCTCCTTTCAGTTTAGGTTACAGCAAACAGCAATCTAAATGAGGCTTCAGCAAGATTCTTGGCTGCAGAGGGAGTGAAATCTGATTTCTTCTGTCTGTTCCAGTACCTCTTGGTTAGC